TTTCCCTACGCAGGAAGACAAAGCCTCCTCTCTGTGTCTCTGCAGCAGCTGGAACCTGACCAGAAGGCGCAGATGATCTGGCAAGAGGGAACCACGCGGAATTCCCCCAGCTAGCTGCAGTCAGCCAGGAACCTGTCCTGAACCAAAAAGACCATTTCGGGAATAAGGATGCTGCCGCCAGTACTAGACTGTTACCACCTTCTCCTCTTTTACCTTGGTGCTTCCCCTCTTTCACACCACCAGTCGGCACCTTCAAGAGAGTAGCTGGCTACATGCCACACGGGCAGTCACTGCTGCCACCTTCCCATGCACTCCTCAGGGTCAGGGACCCTGCAAGGGATACGGGTCCACAGCCTGCCAGGCACCTGCTCGACCTCAAACCCATCTCATCACTGCCCATCTGCCTGGCAATCACTGAGCTACATCTGACTCTTACTGAATCCCAGGCTCCTGAGCAAACTCCTCGGTGCTACCCAGACTCTGGGGATCTTCCAGGGGTGGTTTGAATAGCTCCCCTTTATCCCCCAGTCCTTCTGACCCCTCGGGCCCCTCATGGGCAGCCTGACTATCCCCACCCCCAAGTCTCTTATGCCATAACCCCTTTTCAGTGACTTGTCTCAGGTCTCTGCTCCCTTAAATAGCACCCTGAGACCCCACAGCAACTAAATCACTCTACAGCAAGTCCCTCCAGAGCACATACCTCTGTGTGAGGACAGAGGGGGCGGGCTGAGAGGGGAGGCTGCTGTCAGGCCCCTGAGAGCACTTACAGGCCCTAATGGTCCCCATCAGCCACACCTGGGGCCTCCCCTACATCTTTCCCTCCTGCCCATGAGCCTATTTAAGCTCAGCCGAGGACCAGCCCCAGGAATGCTGCAGGAGTGCTGGTCTCCAGTAGCAATGTCTTAGCTCTGGGAACCATGGCCCTGCCTGCTGATTCTGGAGTTGTGTCTGATCCTGGTTGCCCTTGCTGGGCCTGACAATTGTGGGTGACTTGCTGGTGTGGCCACGGACTCTGTCCCATCCTCACGCAGCAGCCCACGGACTCTGTCCCATCCTCACGCACCAGCCCACGGACTCTGTCCCATCCTCACACACTAGTCCATGGATTCTGCCTCATCCTCACACATTAGCCCACGGACTCTGCCCCATCTTCATGCACTAGCCCAAGGACTCTGCCCCATCCTCACACACCAGCCCATGGACTCTGCCCCATGCTCAAACACCTGCCCATGGATTCTGTCCCTTCCTCACACACCTGCCTGATGACCTGGGCTCCTGGTAGAGCCCGATCACCCTCCCCGGGCCTGCCCTGCCTGGGCCCCGCAGGGCTCCGACCCTGGGGTCCCTCCCGGCTCCAGGGTGGGGTCTCTCCAGGCGGGCAGGAAAGGCCGCTACACCCCGGCCTTCGC